CGCTGGAACGTAGCTGGCGCATTGGTTAGTCCAAAGGGCATCACTATAAACTCATAGTGCCCGTACCTAGTCCGGATGGCTGTGTTATACTGATCATCAGGATGTACTATATGATGGTATCCGGACTTTAAGTCTATCTTAGAGAAGTACTTGGCCCCTTGCACTCGATCTAAGAGATCGTCTATCCTAGTGGCTCAGCATTCTTTACTGTAATAGCATTCAGACCCCTATAGTCTATACACATCCTCAACTCTCCCTCTTTCTTAGGGACATAGAGAACAGGGGCTCCAAAAGGAGACGAACTGGGCCTAATCCAACCCTTTTTGAGGAGCTCGCCCAATTGCTTCTGTAGCTCCTCTAACTCCCGCGGGGACATCCTATATACAGCACCCTTAGGAGTTCTACTGCCAGGCTCTATCTCAATACGGTGCTGGATGGGCCGCGGCACCGTGCCTGTCGGCGGCTTAGTTAAATCCTTGAACTCTTCCAGCAATTTGGCAATAGTAGGGTCTACGGGCTTCTCTTCCTTAGGCTCAGTCACTGGCCTGATATAGGCGACAAAGACCTGTTCCTCCAATTTCTCCTTCTTCACCAATCTGGCGAATGCGGGCGCGCTCAGGCAATAATGTGCCAAGGAATTCTCTATGCCTGACAGATGGAACAGGCGGGCAGTCTTAGCCTCGCGTGAAGAACTAGGGAGCCTACACTCGTGCTCCTTCAAATGGAGCGTGGCCCCGGCTGCATCTCCCCAATCCATTCCCAGAACAATGTCGAATGGGAGGCTGTCTTCTACGAGGAGAGTCAGGGAGTGGAGGACCTTCTCCACTTTCCCATCCTTCTTTAGGCGGAAATACGCCTGGACTCCCTCTACATACTCTTCTACAACCATAGTATGATTGTCTGCGAGGATACTAACTATGGGATCTGCTAGCTTTTGGACGTTAAGCCCTAGCTTCAACTTCTGCAGCGCCTTCCTACTAATATAGTTGCGGGTAGCCCCTGAATCTACTAGGGCCCCTACTCTACCTCTAAAAATCTCTACATCTACCAGAATTAGCTGTCCTTTCTGTTCTTTTTTCATATTGGCCCAAGCGGGCATCCTCTCCTTCAATTATTCGGCCACGCCTATGAGGGAGGTGTCTAAAGAGACCCTGACACAAGCAGTCTCTGGACAGCTGTCTAGACACCGGCCTGCAACCTCTGCCATAGGCACATGTGGTGTGGGAGTCTCCTGTCGGCTAGCGCTGTGTTCCCCACATGGCCTAATGGTAGGGGCAGTTGCTACCCCTACCGGCGGCTGCCTTTTGGCCCTTGGGCAGCCGTTCGTGTCTCTCTATACTTAGGACAATATTTGATGATATGGCCCGGGTCACCGCAGAAAATGCACTGGCCCCGGTCCAATCGTTGTTGCCATAAAGCCTGGTCCAGACCCAAAGATTCCCAAGGCCTACGCTGAGGTAGCCCTGGGTGCCATCCTCCTATTCTATAGGGAGACCTATTCCTAGGACGGTTTTGCGGGGGACCTTGACCCTTGCCTCCCGCTTGGCGGTTTCCTCCTCTGCCGCCAACCCTCTGATCGCCCTGAAATCGACTCCCTGAGGCCCGGCCCCCTTGGCCCTGGCCTCTTCCTCCTTGCGGTCTCCCTCCAGCCGCGACAGTAGCGTAAGATCTCCCTTGGCCCACACCACTGTCCTCCTCCTCTAACCCCCACTCAATCTGGTCGTAGGGGATCTCATCCACACTACCCTCATCTAAGGTTAGGACAAGGTTGTCCTTGGTCTTTACTTGCCCTGAGATAGTGCGGCTCTTCCATTGCTTACCCTTGTCCAAGTCCATGTGCCAGAAAGTGGACACAGACGCCGACTTGGCTTCAAAAGCCACTACTTCGCGACTAAGGGAATGGTATGTAGTGGCAGGGTCTTCGCTCTTTGCGAAGAAATGCCCTCGGAGGGCTTCGGGTATAGCCCGATAAAAGAGGCCAACCAACTGGGTGTCTGTAACTCCGTGGTCAGGGACAGCTACCAGTTCGTCCATGGTACTCTTAAGTGCCCTGGCGCTCTTCCACTTACGAGCGTGGATCGTCTGCAGCCTGTCTGAGGCCTTAACGCTATGGGCGACATCGGCGAACCTCTCGCGCAACAGCTTCAAGAACTCAGTGAGGGAAGTGAATGAGGAGTACGCAACGGGGTCATCGCTGCAATTGGCAGCGCGAACTAGGGACCTTGCAAAGTTGGCGGCTTCATCTCTGAGCGCGTGAATCGCAATCAGAACYTGCTGATCCGGGGAGACCTGTTGCAGATGCAAATAGGTCTTGACATTGGCCTCCCAATTGTCGAAGTTCTCTTCCCTTTTTCCACTGTAGGAATTAGGGAATTTGACTTTGACCGGTTCCCGACGAGGAGGACGTGCCTCCTCCTCCTTGGGAGCTGTCGCTTTGACGCCCTCAATGGCGCCGGCACAAAACCGCGCAGTCTTGTCGAGGCGGTGACCCACCTCGCCGAAACCCGAACTTTATGGAACGCACAGCTATATGTTGACTCCTACTAAAATCATATTGCTCCGCCTGAATTCGTGCCAGGCGTGCAACGTTTCGGGCTATGACTCGCATTTGCGTTGGGAGTTCGGTCTGGGCGGCCAGTTGCTCTTCTATATTCTTTGCTTCCTCTAATTCTTCTGCCGCCTCCGCTGCCGCGTCCACTCTCCTCTTCTTCTCCCTCATCGCTGCCAACTTCCACTCCATCCTCTTTTCATCTTCCAATGCCTGCCGCTTCACAACATCCTTTTCTGCTTCCCAAGCTCTCATAGCGGCTTCCTGATCATCTTTAGAGATATACATCGCCACCTCTTCTTCTTCGCCCAGGGATAAGTTGGCGGAGATTCGCTTCTCCATCTCTTCATCCCTACTACCACTGTACTGCACCCTCTTCCTCTGCAATGGCGTTTTAATCTTCTTCCTCCTCTTCCACCTCTTTCAACTTCTCTTCTCCTTCTTTCTGTATCCTCTCCTTCTCTTTGGCCATCTCTTCCTCTATCTTCGTCAGTTTCGCCGCCTGCTCCTCCTTCAATGCCTTTTTCTTGGCCTCCTTCTTCTCCTTCTTCTCCTGCAGAATGGCGGCCATCTTCTCCTCCTCCTCCTTCGTGTAGGGGTTGGTGGAAGTCCCACCACGAGTGGGCCCTACTCTACACGTGAAAGTGGGCCAAAAGCCCGGAGGAAAGAGGAGACGCCAAAGGGTCCCCCAGAGGGAGAACCCAACAAGTAGCCCATACATCGGATAGTCATCCATCGTGGTGTTGGTGCAGGACAAAGGTCCCACTCCTCACCACGTAGACCTACCCGGACACTCTAACCTATTGACTGACTCCCTAAGGACCACAGGATAAGACCATGTCAATGATGATCACAACTAACCCAAAACTACTCTAAGGCTGTCACTACAAAACCAAGAGCTGATCAGGAGGTATTTAAGAAGATCCCCCAAACTTCGCAAGAATTCTTTAACGTCGCAGACAGGACGACGCGATCAGCTTGGTTCCTCTGGCGATTTCAGCCCACAACTCAGCCCGTCCAGCCT